AAAGGTGGCGTGCGGCCAAACCAGCCGGCGGCGCGCCAAAGCGCGGCGAGCCAGTGATTCGGGCTGACGCCCCGTACTCCTGCGCTCAAAGTCGGCGCGCTGCCTTTGTTTGCCAGAGCGTAGAGTTTTATTTTCCTTTAGTACACCCGGCGTCATTGGGTTAACAGTGAATAATGTAGGTGTACAACCCTTCTTTGCAGACGTTGTTCATGTTCATATGGTGGCTCAAGAAGATGTGCTTAGTTTCCCAACTCCTGTCTGTGACTTGGACCTAAACACTGTCAAGGCAGAAGATCTCCGAAACATTTCACACTCTTTCAACCTGGCTAGCATTGGCTCCGGGCGGCTGAACAGTATGGTGATGTGGTTTGACGTTTGGTTCCCTGGCGGAATGAAACTCTCGACCTCGCCCGACAATGAAGACACGCACTGGCAGAACACTGTGCTGCCGCTGGCCACAGTCCCGCTTGAGCAAGACAACCAGGTCAAGGGGGAACTCCACATCACACAGGACCTTACCAACCACCGCTTCCTTAACGTGGATCTCAAGTACTCGGTGAACAGCGGCGAAGAGATAACAAGATGTTTCAAGATGGATGATAACTGCAATGATAATGACTTCTGAGTTGGGTTCCTCTTCCTCTCCATCTCTAGTCTATCAGGCAAAAGGAAACCAAGTTGGAGTGGGGATTGGTCCCAGGTGGAGTTTCAGTGAAAAGCAGTCCATAACAGACTAGCAGCCAACTAATGATTTATTTTTAGATCTCTCTTCCAAAGACTGCCTCACTACTTAAAAGTTCTGTGATCCTTGCCTTTGTTGATAAAAGCAAGCTTACTTCTGTGGAGGTCTTTCACTTTGGGTACAAGAATTTTCCCGCGGGGAAGATTTGAATCTCGGTAGAGGACCACGTTTTTTCAAGTGAATGTGATTCTCAGCACAATGGCAAGTTTTCAGTACAAAACAGAGTAGTATAATTAATGATGCCTTAGCCTTGCCTAATAACACTTGTGTGTGTGTAGTGTTATTTTCAATACAAACCAGATATTCTGCATTGCCATTCATGCCGTCCATGTGAATGTTAGCATGTTCAGTAGTTAATACTCTAGTTAATTACTAGTGATTATTTCAGGGAATGTGCATGCATGTGAGACTCTGATGAGGATAGAATTTCAAAGTGTTTGAACTTAAGCTTGATATACTATAAGTAATTTATTTCAGGTGATAATATATCAGTGGAAGTCCTTGTTTTCCATCTCTTTAGCTTTTACACGCAAGATGCCCAAAGGTGTCTGACTGGGTGTTGATAGACCAGTGGAAGGTATGTAGCAGCTTTTATTTTAAATTCTGTGACAAGACTGGATGTTTTGCTACTTTTAATTCTAGACAAGTGTATAGTAATATAAGAAAGATTTTTAGTCTTTTTTTTTTACAAGTACTTTTATTTATAGGTATCAGAGAAAAGTTTTACACAACTCTGCCAGTGAAGTAACAAATTTCTGATTTCCAAGTCATGGTCTGTATAAGTATTAGCAGTATTTTGTCATGCTGAAAACAGCATTGCATTTTGCCATGTACACTCAGGCTGATAAGAATATTGATAATGCCATTGTTCTTCTTAAGTTTCCACAAGGTTAAAAGGGCAAGAAAAATATGATTTTTTACTTGCCAAATATTTTAATGATGAAGTATCAGGATATGTACGTGGATGTATTTATATATGTATACATATTACTTGTATCAATTTCTAAAAAGTGTATTTCATTGGTTAGAGAAGATTTTACAGCATAATGCAGCATATCTTGCATTTAAAATAGTTTTTAGTTTACATTCCTCAAGATGAACTATAGCTACTTGGTGCATAAAGTATGTATATAGGCGATAATCTTACCAGATCTTCTTTTTGTAGCTTTGTTCAGTAAGACCACCCCATTGCCTGCTATCCTATGGACAGTCCAAAAACAAGACCCCCGTAGTACGAAATTTTGTGGTTCTTTCTCCGTTAATGATGGGATATACTGCATTATTGTGGTTTGCTGAGATCCTCTGAAATCCATTTTTTAAAAATTTGTTGATAATTACCATATCATGAATTACATAGGGTAATTGATATTAGTGTTGCACAGATTATCATTTTCATATCAAAATGCAGTTTCCTCTGTTTGTGATTTTAAAAGTAATATTTGTGCCAAGTATTTTCCTTCTTTCCATGCTCTTCTTATTCCTTTGGCTTTCTCTTTTCCACTTCTTGCCTTCTTGTTCTCTCCGTCTTCTGGTATTCTTTCCTTAGCATTCGTTTTTCTCCCTATGCCAATAAGAATTAATTACAGAGGTGTTTCAAGAATGTGGTATGTAGGTGTACCCAACATTTTGATTTTGATTAGTGTTGTATGCATGAATGATATTAATTTGAAAACATATATTGCATTTACACATTATAGAAAGTAGTGCTGTTAATGGCGCTTGTTTTGAAAATCAAATGTGAACCATTTAATATTTACATGAATGAAATGCAAGCATTAACAAATATGCAGATAACAGCTAATGTATAATACATGGGACATTAACACATACATGTGCTACAACACTCTTTGACACACCATTGTGTACACACACAAACACATACATACATGCATATGCTAGTCGCAAGTAGCATATTCAGGGAAAACAAGTATTTTTCTTTTCTTGTATATATAAACTTAAATATAGCTGAGCTTTCTTCAAATATATCATGACATGTTTGTCTCATAGTCTGCTGTTATTATGCAGCTCACTATCTTTCATGTAAAGAAGACATAGTCAACTCTAGACAAGGGCATTAGGAGAGATTGGAGTGAGGAGATAAAGAGCAGAATTTTTTTATATTCACACAGCACATGCCCCTGTACATGGTTTGTGAGATAACCTACAAATTATTCACAAAGCATTTCTTTAGTCTCTCTGCATTTATGTTAGTAAATTTCAGAGCAAGTTTGTCCAGCTTATGCTTTGATTTGGCAATATGCATAACACTTTGCCAGCATTTTTTTTTTTTTATATACTTGTAAGTAAAGATTGAACTCTCTTTTTTAGGTTTGTCTTATATCAGCCTTTGCTAAGAATCTGCCTGCCAAAATATTGTGATGGGTTGGCAGCTAACTCATGCAAATTATGCTTTACAGAAGAATCTGGAGATTTTAGAAAGAGTTTGTGAATGGACTGTAACATTCAACATTATAACAGTTTAAAAAGAGGCATCTAAAAGTAATTGCTATTTAACAAAGGGAGTAAAAAAAATGGGTTTGATTTTCATTCCATCTCTTCATATTTATTATAAACTATGCCTTAACAAAGTCACACATACATGGAACACAAAAGTATGTAATTATTGTTTTTGTTGAACCTCATGATTTTGCATTAAAAATGGCTTTTAGGAAAAAAAAAAAAAAAAAAAAAAGCAGCTTTTATTGGTAGTAACTAAGTATATTAAAAGCAACCAGATAACCCAGCCGGCGTGTAATGTGGTTCAAATAACAATTGTTACGTAGTTGGTGCGTCTTTCCAATGCCAGATCCACTCCGCTCATTATTACTGTGGCTTTGTATATTGAGGTTTATTTCAGAAGGTGTTTTTTCGTTTCCCACACATGGTGCCATCATCTTCATTGAAGTGGCATGCTCTCTGAGCCGTCACTTATTGTCGATATATAGATAAATTCTTCCGAGAAAAAAATAACCCTTTTCCAGGTAATTTTTAGACTTTATTTCCATCAAAGATAGTATATGTGATCCAGAATTACTTTCATTTGAGAATTATATGGCTTGTATATACAATATTATTTTTTTGAAAATTCTCTCTCCCATGTATCAGTATTTTTAGTAAGGAAAAGGGAAATCAGAATGGATATTGTATATTATATTCACTACTTTTTGTGTAATAGGTGTGGCACTATACCACAATGTATTATTGGTCTTCCTGCTATGTTTTGTACATCATTGTGTATGGAATTTCATATAATAAAATGAAAAATTCAAAAGTTCATCTGTTCTCAATTTTAATCTTTAACCTTGAATCAGATTTGCTTATTAAAAATATAGCAGTATTAAGCATTTTTTTTTTTTTTTTTTTTAATAGAAATACTGTAAAAAAGTTCACAATACCTGGAAGAAAATACCAATTACACTTATGACATCAATGATAAGGATATATTAGTAAATACTGATGAAAGGCTACAATCATACGACAATCTTTACTATCTTGCTCCCCCCCCCCACAATTCCTGAGGAGTTTGCTTGTAAGACGGAACCCTTTTAATTACAAAGATGGAAAATAAAGAACTTTTGATTTCACATAACCTTTTTGGCAGATAACTTGTAGGCTTGAAGGTGCAACAATTAACAGTAATAAAGAAAACCTAAAATATGCATTAAAATAGAAATAACAGTTGTGACAAAGATGATAAATTCCTGTTGCCTCTTGAAAGTATACTAGTTAAACTGGTAGGGAAATGAACAGGCACAGATTTATGCCACACAAATTAGTCGGGTCTTTTGAGGCTACCTTGTCGGACTTGGTCTAAGTTCCAAATCAGCCTCTATACAGCCCACTGATTGTTCAACTAAAGAGTAACCGGTGTAAGACTTTTTTTTATATTTCTCTAGGAAGATTCTTGTTTTTAATCATACTGCAACAATAAACACAAACAGTCACACTGCTTGTTACAGGAAAGCATGTTTTGAGTAAATTGGATAACAAAAAGACATGACTTTTAGAATAACTTTTATTTTTCCTTAATCTTATGTATATTACCGCATTTGTACACATTATTTCTAATATCCGTCTACAGAAATTAATGCTAATTTTTATGTTATAGTTTATACACTGTCTTAAAATTAGCCAAAAAAAAAAAAGGTCCATTAAAAATTATAAAGTAATCGTATTATATCACAGAAATATTACTTACATACAAATTTGAAAATTATTGCACAATCAACCAATAGTGTAACTTTTAACTTTTTGTTTTTTTCTCTCTTTTTGAAAATCATAATTCCAAATAACCATAACTCAATGCAGTGACACTTCATTCCTTCAAACTCTCATATTCTCCAAGCCTCAGATTAAGTTCTCTTGGACTGAGCTTCCTGATTGGACGCTTTCTACCTTCACAATTTTCCAATCACAACATATTTGCATGCAATATAGCATAATAATTAGCTTATGGGGGAAAAAAAAAAAAAAAAAAAATGTAAAAGCCAATATTTTGACATAGTCTCCCTCTATAAATCTATTCCATTTGTAAATGATAATATTTTCCTAATGACTTCAACATCTAGCATGAATAATTATGCCCTTGCACTATATACATAACCTCAATTTCTTTTGATCCTTCTATAATGAAAATCAGTTAAAGTTAACAATAACTGATTTTTTTTCAGCGCTCTCAGGATAAACAAAAATATATATACGTATATACTTCAGGCAATGGTTGTGCAGACATATTTTGAAAATCAAAGTGCTAATATGATAATAAAATAATAAAAACAAAAGTAGTAGTGATGATAATAGTAAAACAGTAATAATAAAGCAAAAATAATAATAATAAAAATAAGAGTAAAGGAAAAAACAACAACAATGATAGTAATAATAATGGTTGTATGAGTATGAGTATTATTATTATTATTATTATTATTATTATTACTATTATCATTATCATAATAATAATAATAATAATAATAAAACAATAAAATAATAATATTAATAAAAAAAAAAAAAATTAATAACAACAAAAGCATTAACAATAAATCACCTCAGCTGAATCTACTTCATAACCAAACATAACTAAATCAACTCCCTTTTCTCTTTTCATCCTGTAAAGAGTTCATGAAATCTACAAAATTTGCAAAACCTTCACAGAGGTGTCCAAAAGATGAAAAATACTGCCTCCAGTTTCATATACTGTATGTGATAAATACTGCATTTGAATCTTCCCTATCAATAACAAAAATTCTAACTATATCACAAAAGGAATCTCTTTGAATGACATGTGATGCATTAGAGTAAACTTCAAGCCTAGTAAATATCTCTTATATTCTGATATTTGCAAGATATACATTTCAGAAGTTAATAACAAAAGTTTAACACTAAACCCTTATAAATGACGTACTCCATTACCTTGTGACCTTTTCTAACGATATGTGAACAGAGTGAGAGACAGAACACATTCATCCTTTAGGATAATGACAGCATTACAAACAGAAAAAGTTGATATATACACATGAATAGACACAGCAGATCTGCTTAATATCACAGGCATATAATTCTTAGCTCAAAATGACTTGAACAAACAGTAAAAAAAAAAAAAAAAATTCCTTTGTGTCCTTTGGTACTAAACTATAATTGCTAGATTGACAGCAGATCTTAAAAAACAGCGGATGGAATTCATAATTTGTTTTGATCGGTGAAATTCTACACTAATATCCTTTTAACAGTAAACTGACACTTTTTTAATGGATTATATCTAAAGCACATATTTCGCTTGGTCATTCATCAAAATTCTATATTTGGTTTGCCCATACGTAACAACTTGATAATTTTTGTAAACTGAGGAGATAATCCTTCCAACAGCCCATGAATGACCCAAATAAAATTGATATACTAACAATACTATGCTAATTATGCAATCTTTACAATTTATACATAACATGTTCTTTATGCACCAACTCTGCTGTATGAGAAAAATGAATGATTAAGACGGTAACGACTGAAATACTTTAAATACAATTAACGACACACCTCCTCTCAATATTAAAAAGAATTCCCTACTTATGACAAAAGCAACATTACATGCATCTGGCTCATATATGCAAATCTTGTAAATTCTTCCACTCTGCATATTGCAAAATTTAAGAAATGCAAAATGAACAAAAATACAAAAGACCTCACAACTCATACTGCGATGGGTATCATTTGCGACTTAAACTTGAGAATGACATTTATCATAATAATAAAACTGAATAAAGAAAGAAAGAATGAAAAAAGACCACTTCCACTATAGTGAACATCTAAACCACGCTGGAAGGAAATCCGTCAGTGGGGTGCGAAAGAAGTGCGCGGGTGGACGATGCTGAGCTGACAGAGGCATCGGACGACCGACTGATCACCGAGGCATTGCTGAGAGGCGTGCCTGGCAGAGACAGCGAATCGCTTTGGTGGCTGAGCGAGGAGAACCCACCGTTAGGTGATGCTGGCACTCCACTCTCGGAGGAAGCGCTAGCTCTTTCCCTGCGTAGGTTCTGTTGCAGGAGTATCTGTATCAGTATGCTTTGTGCTTGCGAAAAAAAATCTTCAAATATTTTCCCTCCCACATAACACACACACATTAAAATAAGACAAAAAATATTCTACTAAACCCTTAAGATGCTAATAATGCCTGAAAAAAAATCAGCTGATATAAATAATAAAACTGAATTACATTCTTCACAAGCACTTTAGTAATTAGATGTTTAATGATCATTAAAATATGC